CAGTGATTCCGTATGTCGTACACATAGCCTGATCGCAAGCGGGCGATCCCCGCTCGGGTGGCGTCCGGGTCGCAGCACACTTCGCCGGCGTGCTCGCAGCTGGCGTTCTATCCCGGTCCCAACTTCTCTGTGGCATCTCCATCTCCCGTAGCGCTGATGGCCGTCCGGCACGTCCGAATTCGGTACAGTTGCCTGATGGCCGTCGTACGCGCAGAGTGCCAGAGAAGGCAGGGCGGCGCGCACGCGCCTAGATCGTCAAGAGGGCAGTGCTGTTGTGCATCCATTCGGGAAGGGCGCGGTTTGAGTTGGGCCAGGTTCGGCGAGATGCGTAGAGATTAGTGAATGCCGTATTGTAGCGAGTCCTCCAGCCCGATGATGCTAGAATCTGCGAGTGCGAGAGCGTGATGCATACACAAAGACATCATCTTGCTACGGCGATAGATTCAGAGAACCTTTCCCCAGCGCTACTAGTGAACGTGAACATCAAACTCTGGCTTAAACCTCAGCCCGGCTGTCGGTCGCCGCATACGCGTACAGTACTGGCGCCCCGCTGTCAACGGACAACGCTTCCAGTTCGTCTGCCAACTCAGACTAGGTGGTGAAAGGCAAAGACAAGCTTCGACGCCGCGACCACGGGACGGACGCGGCTCCGGGAGCGCGGTGCACGCGCGCGGTCGGAGTTGGGCGCACGCGACGGAAGCAAACCCAGTCAATCCCTTTGCGCGCACCGTGCGCTCGGCGCCGGCGGAGGTGGCGCAGGCGATTGGGAGTGGCCCGCTGTGGCGCAGGGTCTGAATCCTAACTCTCCAAATGCGATGGCTCCGTCTTTGCCTCGTCCACAGCATGCCGCCGAAGCCGATCCCTAGTAACGCGGCGCTTGAGCGTTGACGTGTGCTGTAGAGTACTGAATGCCCCCATCTCAAATGACGATGTGGATACAGGGGAACAGCGGGATCGACTCTCGATGGGTAATGGGGTGGATTGCTTGCGGCCCTAGGGTTTGGAGAGTGAGCGCGCGAGGAAAAGTTGCGGTCAGAACGGGGCTTACGGCGCGCGCGATGTTCATCAGCGAACGTGCACTACGGTCTACTCTGCAACTCTCCAGACTGCAACTGCGACGGAGCACAATCCTCTCACTCTCGGAGCCGCGGAACGTCCGCGCACCGATATACCAGCCCCAGCTTATGCGGCGCGCTGATGCTCGACATGCACAGGCAATCGTCTGAGCTTGAACTCGATGAGGCAATTGATAGGAATATTGCCATATTGTTCTCGTGCCGATGTTGCTCAATCGCTCGAGCCCGACAGTCAGCCCGTCGTTCGCACTATCTCGGATATTGCGCCGCGTTTAATCTTCACTGCAATCTGCACGTTACGGCGCAAACCAGCGAACTCCCAAGCATATCTGGATCTGCGCGACGAACGAGAGCACGCAAGTGCCTGTGCGCGGTGAGTGGGCGTGGGCGATGCCGATAACATGTAGATCGCAGACAGTCGAACTGAGGAACTAGACTCGGAGGGGCTCGAGCTGGTCTGATGCGGGCTTTGGTCGTCGGCGAGGAGACATGCGGACTCGGGCATGGGCACTAAGCACAACATCTCTCTGCACTGGACAAATGGCGAGCGGGAGATATATGATTGTAAGATGGGCGCGAGCTGTGCTGACGGGCGCCTTGCGCAGTATGCGCTGCGAGGTTTGGGCGGGCAAGCCATTTCGCGTTCTTGGCAGCTCAGATGCGGGGCACGGTTCATGGCGTTCGGGCGGATGGGCGCTCAGATGGGCGCATGCGGTGCAGGCGATTTGGTTTGCAGCGCGCGCAGCGATTCATTGCAGAGTTCAAATTATCATGATATGCGTTCGCCGAGGCGAGACTCGCAAGGCGCATCACGGGCGGCACCGAGCCATGGCTGGCCCGCTCTTTGGATCTCAACATCTTGCGTGTCGACGACGTTTTCACAGGGAGCAACGTCTGGGCATCAGGCCGCGGCGGCAGCTGCACGGTTTGCTACGTGGCCTCTCGGGAGATGAAAAGATGGATTGTATACGATGAACGCATAGCGAAGACGAAGTATCGTATGCGACCAGCCCTGCGTGCTGTCGTACTCGAAGAGGCAGGCGTGTCCCTGCACTGACGACGCCATCCGGCGGCGGACGACGGATCGCGCACGTTGAAAGGAGAGGAGCATCGGGGCGCATCTGATGGGCCAATATATGCACGGCGGCCAGGTCCGTATGCCGAGTGGGCGGATGCGCCACCGAGTCCGACACCGAGGAGAGCGGCCGTTGATAGGTATGCGTAAGATGGAATGGGTATACGGGCGGATTTGCGGCCGGGGTCCGTAAGATGGGGCGGATCGCCAGCTGCAGTCAGCAGAGCGGGTCGCGCGCGCGATGAGGGACGTCGCGCCGATCCTATTACGCGTTGTCGAATATGAACGGCTGGCGGTGTTCCACGGGACAGCGCATCAGCTGGGGCGGACGATAGAATTGCAGCGTCGACAGCAGTATCATTTGTTGCCCGGGGAGGAAAGGAACCCGACGGGTCAAGACGGCTTTGTTGCCTGTGGCTCGAGATCCATTGGCCATCAGTACAGTCTGGCAGGGAGCTATCGAGCGCCTGGATGCGTGCCAGGGTCATATGTTACAGGCTGCGGCCGGGAAGGCAGAGTGAGCATGTGTCGAGAGCGAGAGAAGAGAGGACGCCTGGGTCAGACTCGGCATCGCTCAAGCAGTAGCCGATGCAGGGAGAACTCGAGAAGGGAGAGGCGTGAGCGCGCCACAAAGCTCAAGGTTTTGCCAATAGGTTCCGGTGCGAGGAGCGAGAGCATCATGGTAATCTCGTTTTCGAGATCTTTGGTCACATTGGGACTTGGGAGTGCGAGCAAAGGGAGACTGGCGCTTGAGGCGTGTAGGTCGCCAGGAACGTAACGAGGATGGAGAAGGATGGAGAGCAGATGGTAAGGAGACGAGCGCAGCAGGCATTGACAGCAGGAGATGCGCGGAGGGACTCTGTGGATGTGGCCGAGTCGGGGAGACGGAGACGGTGGGCGGTCGTTTGTCGTTTGGGAGATGTTGGCGGGCGGATCGGGAGATTGGCTCTGCGGTGATCGCCAGCGCGGCCTGGTTCGACTCGGCGGCAATGGGAACGGTTCGGTTGCCGTAAAGGTGTCCCTGAGGGACCGGTTCGGTGTGACTGGCAGAGTGACCCGGTGCGTGCGATGGGAGCTCAAGCGTCTACGGGTGCGGTGGTTGGGCAGGGGTGGGTATAGCTTGAGAACAGAGTATAGGGTGATGGTGTTCAGAAGAAGCGAGATCTAGAGGGGAGATGTGGGAGGAAATGCGAGTTGAAGAGCTGAGAATATGCAAGCGCCGGCCTGCGGTTGGGCGGATGTTTATAAGCGGGCGTGGCCCCGTCTGCGATCTGGGTGTGCGATTCTCCCTGGGACGCGACCGAGACAGAGCGTATAATTACGCGTGACGTTCTATGGCATCTTACGCGACGATGGCCAGCGACGCCCGCCCCGTCGACCTCACCCGTTGGGAGTTGGCCGAGATTCTGAAGAACTCGACGATGAGCAGGGACAGGTGACCTTCCGCTTCTAGCGAGTAACAGGCGCGTCGTGATTTAAACGGCTCGCATCCCAGGATCCAAAACAACATGCACCTCGACACCTCCGCCAACTTTGACGCCTTTGCCCAGCGTCCGCCCCAGCCCGGCCCGCTCACGATCCCCCAGTCCGGGTACGCCGACGAGAGGATGGACCAGCAGCCGGCATCTTCCGACTACGACATGTTCGGCCAGGCCGCCCACCAGCAGACGTCGCCCTACCAGCGTATGCGTTCCAACACTTCCCCGGCCGCGCCCACCTGGAGTGGCACCCATGAGAGCCTGTACTCGCAGCACAACAACTACGGCTCCGACTCGGTCCCGTCCTTCAACTCGGCGTCGTCTGCAGGCAGCTACGACATGATGTCTTCCATCTCTTCAAACTACTCGTCCGGCAAGCAGACCCCGCTCACGCCCAACGACCCCATGCACCACCCGGGCTTTGGCGGCACGTTCAAGCAGGAGCCCCAGTCGGCATATCCCGATCTGTCCTCGGACCGGCGTCTGTCCTACGGCGCGCCCGACGTGCACGACGAGTACTCGCAGCTCGGCGCCTCTGGCTTCGGCAACACCTCGCTGCCGCCATTCAACCGCTTCCAGCAGCAGGACCCGCTTTACCCGCCCACGACGATCCCCTCGCATGGCAGCCACTTTGGCAGGCCCGATCAGGCCGGCTACGACGACGTGCAGGGATACATGCCCAATCCGGGTCAGGACCTCTCCCTCCGGATCCCCGGCATCGACGACAACATGATGCGTCGCATCCAACCCCATGGCGGCCTGCATTCTGCCGGTGATCTCTCTTCCTTCATTCGGTCAGTCAGCGCTTCTTCGGCCCATCATTCAAACGTCTAATCCCCCTCCCTCCCTTGCAGGCCCTTCCTCGAGCAGTATGTCCGCGCACCCAATCGCCTCGCATTCGGCGAGCGCTCCGTCATCGTCATGTCCTCAAAGGTCGCACAAAAGTCGTACGGACAAGAAAAGCGGTGCGTCTGACATCTGCATTCTTTAGGCGCCCAGCATCGCGTGCTCAACTCTATGGCCGCAGATTCTTGTGCCCGCCTCCGACGGCCATCATGATCGGCAACTCATGGTGGTCCGACGTCGTGCGCCGTGGTGAGGAACCCCGCCTTGCCCCGCCCCGCGTCGTCGTGAGCATCTCCGGCGAGCCTGCCCCGCAGGAGGGCACCGTCGAGTGGACCGCTGCCGCCGGCAAGCCTTTTGACGCCAGTGACCCTCCGACGGGCACCACTTACATCGGTCGCTGCGTCGGCAAGCAGCTCTTCATCTCTGATGTTGATGAGAAGAAGAAAAAGGTCGAGGCGCTCGTACGCATCGTCGCCCCCGCGAACGAGGACGAGCCCGAACGCGTTATTGGCACCTTCCCCTCTCGCCCGATAAAGGTCATCTCCAAGCCGTCCAAGAAACGCCAGAGCGCCAAGAACCTTGAGCGTACGTTTGTCCTCCGCCGGACGCGCGTCTAGAAATTCAAACAGAGCTGACAAATGTATAGTCTGCATCAATCACGGCTCGACCATCTCGCTCTTCCACCGTTTGCGCTCCCAGACCGTCAGCACCAAGTACCTTTGCGTGTCTGGCTCTGGTGCGAGCTTCAAGGGTTCCGACGGTGCACCGCTTCTGGGCGTCGACCAGCGCACGCGGTCTGCTACGCCATCATTCATTGCAAGGACTTCCTCCTGGGGTAAGTCGCTTCCCCGATCTGGCGCCGATGCGGGCCAAGTTATCCTCGTCCTTGTATGCACTTACTGATCCTGCCTTGCGCCTTTGTCAGATCCATTTGTGATGTACATCGTCGATGCGGATAAGCCCGGAGGCGGCATGGACGCGCCGCCGCCACCGCCACCGCAGCCTGATTACCCTTCCCCGCCTCCCAATGCAATTCCCTTCATGGCTAACGGCACGCCCATCCCGATCTACTACAATCAGACGGTTGTCCTCCAGTGCCTGACGTCCGGCGTCGTCTCCCCCGTCCTCATCATCCGTAAGGTCGACCACCAGACGACCGTTGTCGGTGGCGGTGCACCCGAGGGTGCCAAGGGCGTCGGCGACGCGTACTGCGGAGCCGGCGAGGTCTGCGGTGACCCCGTTTCCCAGTTGCACAAGGTCGCGTTCGAGGTCTACGAGCACGGCAAGCTTGCACCTGAGCCCGGTACCACCGGCGCATCTGGCGCTTTCCTCAGTTGCATGGGCGAGAAGGTCAACACATACCGTCCCGCGGAGGGTCGTGTCTGGACTGCGAGCGCGAACGCCGCTGCTGCGAGCAGCTTGGGCGGCGGCATCCTCGACAGCCCCATGGAGAGCCCGCTTGCGCAAACACCATCCACCTTGGCCGGCAGCGGCGACTACTTCGGCAGCCCGCTCGGCGAGACCAGCGACGCTTCGATGGACGTCTCCAACAACGGCGGCCGTGTCAAGACGAAGAAGCGCTCCACAAGTTCCGCTGGTGGCATGTCCCGTGGTAGCGCCTCTTCCAAGGGCGGTCGCAGGCGGCCCGGCAGTGCCGGTGGAGGTGGCCGCGGCGGCGACCAGCTCTCGAGCGGCGCGATGTGGCAGGTGGACATCGGCGAGACGAGTGTCTGGACCATCGTCGGCACCGACCAGGTCCGGTACAACTTCTACGTACCGCCTGTTCTCTTCGACCAGCAGACGGCACCACAAGGTCACGGCTTCCCCGTACCAAGCAAGCCCGTCACGCCGTTCCCTGGCGTCGTCAAGTACCTTCCACCAGACCGTGCGGCGGAGGCACCCAAGCGACACCACATCCTCAGCCCTGGTGCCACAAGTTTCGCTGGACAGGGTGGCAAGGCCGCGCCCAGTGGCAAGCTGCTCACGCTCTACGGCGAGAACTTCAATAAGTCCGAGCCGCTTGGTGTGTTCTTCGGCGCAGAAGGCAGCCAGTACGTCGAGACGAGGTGTGCTGAGGTCATGGGCTGCCTCCCACCAGAAGGCGCCCAGACGAAGAGGCGGCCGATCCTGCTCGTGCGCGGCGACGGCGTCGTGTTCCCGAGTAGTGTGATGTACCCATAGGAGTCGCTCTTCTCTCTGCTGTCCGTGCCGTCGCGCGTGTTCTGGGTGCCTCGTCGCTTTGCTCTCCACTTCAATCGTCGTCTGTACACTTTTTCTCTCCTATGCGTCGCTCGTACTGCTCTGCGTCTCGGACTGCTTTGATCTCGTCTCGTACAACGTGTAACGCTACCTATCTATACGCCCGCGCACTACTCCGCCCTTTTTACATCTACGCACGCTGCTACCCTATTGCTCCGCTCTCTCTACTCCCTCCCCTGCTCACGCCTCGCATGCTCTCGTTACACCCCCCACTTACGACCTCTCACTCCCATTCGCGCGGGCTGCATCATCTTCAAATGCTTCGTCTGAATGCTCAGGTGTTTGTTTGTATCGTTACCTCCCCTGTTTGTCAACCGGAATACACAATGCTTAGACTTTCACATCTCCATCTTTTCCTGCGTGATATCAGCAAAACGTCGGAGTTCAACACATCTGAGTCTGCGTGGACCCACACCCGCACATCGTCTGTGCTGCAGTCTACCGACGAACCGCAGCAATGCGCTGTGGCACAGGTCCCGTCGCGCGAAAAAAATCTTAGCCGTTACGAGAGCGGCAAAGTGAGAAAAGGAAGGGCCAGAAGGGCAGAGCGAACCGATTGGGAAGATCGCGAATCGCGATGACGAGCAGACTGAGACATCGCGCGCCTCTCCGCACGCGACGCGCCGTCGTCCCCGCGTCGGCCCAGAGCTCGCGAGCGGAAGCGGTTGAACGTGATTTCTTCCTTTCGCGTTCGACGCCCACCGGGTTCTACATCTTCAGAGCTTCCCTGTCAAAGGACCGGACAGCTGTGTGCGCCTACTGCAACTCAACACTCTCTCTTGTGCTTCGACGGGAGGGCGGCGCTTATACTAGATCTAACTGATAACCTGTCGCGACTCTAACACCGGAACTGGATTCTCCGCCGCCCTTGAGCGCGTCTGCGGGCTTTGAGCACATGTCGGCGCTGTGGACAATATGGCAGTTGTATTCCCAGCACCTCGTGTATTACTCTGAAGAGGGCTGGGTGGCTAGTACAGCCCGCACGTTCCGGGTACTTGCCATCCTGTGCATTGTACCGGGGATATTCCTCACAATACTCGTGCGCCACATCTCTCTCCTGTCACCTTGATGGTGTTGCTGACGTCTTCCATGCCTGGCTATGCAGGATATGACAACATATGTGATTGCGCGCACATTGGGCGATCCTACGGCGAGCACATCTGCGCGTCATATACCGCTCCCACCTTCTCCGCCTCCCGAAAAGCTCGACGAACTCGTGAGCGACCCGATGTCACCACCTCCCACAATCGCTATCACGCCCGCACCCTCAACGGGGAACGGCGCAGACTCAGGAGACGAAGACTACGCATCGCGGTTAGCTGGCGTTGGAGTATTCAGTGCACCGGGTAGCGCCCCCGGAAGCCCTATCATGGAGAGAAAGAGTTTGATCAGTGCCGTTGAGCTGGAGAGGACATTGACGGAAGTCAGGGAGGCGCATGAACACGAGAACGATATGGTGGGAGGGGAGTCGAGTAAAGGAAAGGGCAAAGTGGGCGGGGAGGACGGGGATGCCGGGGATGCGTTAGGGGAGAGCTATGCCATGCTAGAACGCGACGAGAGCTGGGAGGACACAGGCGTACAGATACGCCGGCGCAGGCCGGTCGCCGTCTCGTAGACTTGACACGATGTTTTCGGTTCCCGCTTGCCTATCACAGGACATTATTACTTGCTCGCTTTCTTCTTTTCGATTGTTTCGTTACATGCAATGCGGCGTGCGGCGCGGTCGCGGTCCGCGGAGGACTACCCGGCGGATGAGGCGTTTAGCTCTTCGGCAAGGTGCGCGATCTGTCCTTGTCCTGTGTTTATCACAATGCGCCTCTCTGACAGGCTTCCACGCAGTTGCCTATTCGGATTCGGATTCTCGTCATATAGACATATTGGACATTTGGGGCCTCGTCTCGTCTCGGCTTCAGCGAGCCAGGGGAAATTGGAATGATGAAAGACGATATCCGTCGATTGTACAATATACAACATATAGAGTCCAGTCCGGCACGAGACCAACAAAGCTGCCAACACGACCCTGCGTGGCTCACCACCCGAAACGAAGCTGATCACGAGTGAACGTTGGCGGCTTCCACTTGAGGCAGTCCTTATTGATCCTCCGCCGACGCTTGTTCTTCGCTTTCTCGTACCGATCGAGTACAGAGTCGGAGAGCGCGATGACGTGTTGACCCTTGTAGTGCTTGAACAGTTGTAGGGTCGTGCACCTGCGCAAGATGGTCAGTACATCTGGTTAGAACGAGAGACACGATGCGCAGATGGGGGACGTACGTGTTCATGACGTCGGCATGCGTGATACTGGTGGCCTGCGCGATCTCGTCGACCGAGACCTCCTCGCCAGCCGTAACGACGGCCTCGACGATCTTCTCGGCCCAGTACGAACGGTAGCCGAGTAAACCGAGATCACTCAACGGCTTCTCCGGGCTGCCAAGCTTGCCTTCGCGCTGGGAGAGCAGGTATGAGAACTCGATGAGCAGCTTGCCGTAGCCGTGTCGCTGATGCTGAGGCAGTGTCAAGATACATGCAACGTTGTAGTTCTCGGAACATTCTTTCTCTTTCGAGAAGTAGCCAACGAGGTGAGCGCCGTGTGAGTCGCGTTGAGTCTGTGGCGATGATCAGTCACGGATAAGATTTCTGGATGAACGAACATACCATCACGTAGTACATGAAAGGTGTCACGTCGTAGTAGAGCGTCTTGTGATCCAGGAAGCATTTCGACAGTAGACTGAGATTACGGCAATACGTGAGCTGCTTGCGGCCGTCGATCTCGAAAAACGAGATGTCGCCCTCGCGGTAGATCTCGTTCCCAGGTGGACAGAGCAACGTGCAGCGCTGCCGGTGGCGTCCGAGCATGAAGTGGCTTGGGAAATATGCGAAGCAGAACTCGCAAAGGTATAGCACGGGTAGATGTGCGTACTCCTGTGGATACGGGGAGAAGTACCAAGAGTCGACCTCATGCTTTCCAATGGATAGCCTGTTGAGGTTCTTGACACGAGCGACTTCAGAGACGGATTGTGTCATGCTGCCTCCCGTCCGTAACTTCTCGATCTCTTCCTCTTTCGAGAAGTTCGCCAAAGGCTGTGGTGCCGGTACAGGCTCGGTCGCGTTGACAGCGTCGGTAATGTCGAACGTCTCGCCCTCTCCGGCATCTGTCTCGCCGTCGGCATCGTCATCTCCCTCCCCATCGATGTCCATCCGATCCTGCTCCTCTACATCCGGTGATCCCTCCGCATCCTCGTCAGCATCTTCATCCTCTTCATCAACCGGATGCTTGCGCTTGAGTGAGCGCTTTGCAGGCGTGGGTGTCGGTGGTGCACTTGGTGGCGCAGACGCCTTGCCTTTGCCCTTCCCTGCACCCTGGCCGGTCAACGCCGCATTCGTGGTCGCTCGTCGCAGCAATGAGTTGTTGTTCTCCTTCCCCCCACGCGGCATCTTCCCAACTCGCTTGTTCGACGGTGCAGGGGATGGCGACGCTGCGCTATGTCCGCGCCCGCTACCGCCAGCCGTCTTGCCATCCTTCTTGTCCTTCTTCGGACGAGGCCACTCAAGATCACGAGAGAGAACAAGACGAGAGCCGGGAAGCCATTCGTCGAGACGTTTATTGAACTGGTCCCAGTGCACGAAGAATTCAAGTTTGTCAAGTTCAGGATCAGCATCGAACGACGGCGCGGGCGACGAAGACGGTCCGGCAGCGCCGGCGAGCTGGCGGCGCAGGTACGGATTGGCCGGTGGCTTATCCCGGATAGACAATATTTCTACCAGACGTTCTTCAATCTCGCTGGTGTCAGGATTCCATCGCCGCGCATAGACCTTGCAACCGACGGAGATCGTCTGCGATATATTCCGAGGTTAGATGAATATTCGAATTATGACTAAGCCGAACAACCGCGTCGCGGTGGCGCACACTCACCTGGATCTTGTACGTTCCGCCCGCCGTTACAGGCGCAGGCTCGAGAGGACCTTCATCCTTGGCTGGTGCAGACACCATGCCACGAAGAGAGCGAGAAAAAAGGAGAAGAAAGACGAGAGCGCAAGGCAAGGGGTGCCAGCGCAACAACAGTCGCCTCCCCTGTCAGCGTTGTGACTCAAAATAATTACATAACCATCGCGTGGACTAAAAGTTGTTAATTTCGGACTAACCACAACTATCACCATCGATCAGACTGAATACGCATACCGTTTTGCGTGCAAAACACGATGTAGTGCGGGCATGAACGGTGCCGAAAAGGCCGACTTCATATATTCTACACCTCGCGAGCTCCTATCGAACATCGGGTTTTCCAAAGTCGGCCCAGGCCCACATGTGCTCTTCGTTCACGACCACCACTGCAGATTAATTCTGCGTGCGCAGAAGCACTTCATCCCCTTAGACTATAACCTATACAGGATGCCCGGCATCCTTCGAAGGACTTCTGTAACGCACTACAGCAGCAGCCCGACAACACCCGCGGCGCGGCTTTCTCCTGATACTGGTTCGAACCGCCGCGCGCAGAAGGCGAGCGCTCCGTCAACCCCGCCTCTAACTTCTTGAAGGCCGTCAGCCAGTTACCGTTCGGCTTCAAGCAACCTCCGACGTCACCAGGTATAGAACTCAGAGTCAATGGGCTGCGTTCTTGCTGTGTAACAGGCTCGTCGCTGACTGGTATGCATACAAGTCCGCTGATGATACCGCTTCGAGCTTTACCTGTTGTAGCCCGTCCGCGGCTCTCCACCAGGTGGTCCCCGCTTCAAAGTATACACTGGACATACAGTCACCAGTAGCGGATGGCCCGTCTTTTCTGATGACTACGTTGCTCCTGCATAGCTTAGGCTATGGCGTCCCGAATATATCCCGGAAGGTTTGTTCGTATCGCGTTGGTGTACCTTGTCCGTAAACCCTGCTGGACGTCTACGGCCTCGGTCCATGGGTTTGACTGTATGCTCTCGTATCTATCTGCGCTGCGCTTTGTGCTCACCGAGCAGACGTCGGGACTGTACCCGGACGTTTATTATGGTTTACGGCGGCCCCGCGATGGGGAAGCGCATAAGGGTTATACAGTGGCCCATACTTGAGCCGTCCTCGAACGCTACAATGAACACTACGGCTGTGCCCTTGATTTGCTGATGACCCGAGACAGATGATGCGGATGGACTCGAAGCATGCATTCAAGCACTTACTACGATCTGCAGAAGCGCCCGGCTAGCAGACGCGGTCAAGAAGTCCGAACGCATGAACAAGTACCGCTCCGCCCCGCTGTCTCCACCGTCTTCTCGACGGAATACGATCTCGGGCACAAACATGTACGGCTCAGTCAATCTGCAATCGCCAGGTATTGACGACCCTGCAGCGCTGACCGGGCCCGGGTCCGGGTCATAATGCAGAGTTATCGTGAAGTGTTCCTACAGGCTACAGTAAAGCCTGCAATATCGCTGGGCTCCATATCTCCTCCGAGCCCCGAGGTCCAAGTCCCCGTATGATCTTGCCCGTTTTGCACTATGCCCGGTAGCGTCAGATGTTAGTGGCACTGTGCATGGCACGCTCCCTTGGACGCTCCAGACCGCGACCGGTCGATCAGAACTGGATGGAGATGGCCGAAGCAAGAGTCAAGACCGAATCGCCAGCTTCGGGACTACTACTATTTCGATGCCGTACGAGATCGTACAGAGTACGAGGCGCGATCCTCACTGCGTAGAGGTTCATCGGCTCTGTCCGGGTGATTACTGCCTGTCCTCTGCCCAGAATATGGCTGTTCAACTGACTCCTCGTCTGCTACAGATCCTCGACATCGCGGCATCTGGCGCTGCGCGAAGCATGCGTAAGGTCGCTCTGGTACTGGATCACATTCTATCTAACAAGCGGTCTTCGATGCACAGCGGCGAATATAAGCCGAGTTGCCTGAGCTGTACCACTTGCGCAGATATCGCTTGCGTGGGCGCGCCGGACAGGAGCATATTCAGCTGCGGAGGCCCGTCCCGGGCCGCCTCAGCGCTGGATCGTAGCATATGCAACATGGTATCTTCGGCGCCCAGTTGCGTAAGCCTCATCCTTTCCTCGTCCGCTGCATAAACTACGTCAAATGCCCCTTGCGCACGTCGGCCAATCTACAACACTTTGAGCTGCGCAGTGCGGTCTGCGCGCGAGCCTCACTCGCGAGCATGAGGCTCATCGTGCCACTCACTAGTGTCTAGAATATGAGGAGGTGACAGGACTCAAGTAAGCTAGGCACAGTACTCCCTTGTACCTGCTTTGTTCATTAAATCGTGCCTTCGTCAAACCGCTAGTACCTTTGATTCTTGAAGATCACCGCATCTGAACTTTGCTTCATCCTGCCTGCATCACATCCCGTCGCTTTGCGAAAACCAGGCGCTCTCCCTGCCCTACTTGGTGCACGCGACCGAAGCTACAGCTCGGTTTCGATTCGATCCCGATTCTGAGGGGTTGAATAGTGCGTGACAATCGAAACAGTCTCAACCTCCCGACCGTCCGCTGCGCCATCGCGGACAAGGAGCGGGGACGGCGCAAAACTGTCACCGGTACTTGAATCGTTTGCTTCAGCGGACTTTCAATATCCAAAGGCTGTGCCCCTCCGACGGTGACATTGGACAGATCATACTTAGGATCACATAAGCCCGTTTACGCCGGGTATTCAATCGTTGCGTATCATGGATCATGTTGAGGATGGTACCTGTCCTTGGATCCTTGGCCTCTCGACAAGTCGTATTACAGGGCGCTGGGTCATCAGTGTCAGACTGAACTTGGATGGTCTACATTAAACGACCGATAACTCCAGGTTCAGAGCGTAGTCCTCGAGCGCTTGATCACGCCAAATGTCGAGTCTAGTATGTCACACCAATTGTCGGCCACTAGACTGTCCGATGCCGCTCTTTGAATAACGTCATAGGGCCACAGTATGACCTGGCAAATGCGCATCGGTCTAACTCAACGCTATGTTTTGAGTCGACTTGCGAGAAGCGCCGCTATATCAAACCGTCCGTATCGGCACACATCACAGCGACTCGTTCCGACTCATCGCTATAACGTATTCGAGCACATGTAGTAGAGTGAATGCAAGACAAGGCCGGTGATGGGAATGCTCGTGAGAACCATAGTAACGAGCTTTGCGAAGTCACTCGCCAATATATGCCCAGGACTCGGAGAGCCTGGCGCAAAGCTGCCGATCTGCCCCAGGATACTCATTACGAGTCAATAGAACAGTAATCTGCTTGAGAGATTGGCTACGTGATACGTGCCAGTATTCAGACAATGGGGCAGATCTTCAAGCTTAGACAATTTGTATGATGGCAGGATGATGGTGGTCGAGGTGACAGGAAGGGGAGGCGCTCAGTCGCGTGTGGACGCGACGCTTAGCTAATGATAACCCCCGCGCGTCGAACGCGCTCGCGCTGTGCATCCATGAACCTCACCGCGAGGACGTCTTTCAAGAAGCAGCCGGGATTGCTTAAAATTGACGCGTCCCACATCATCTGGACCCAGGATGGCAAGAGTACACCATCAGTTAGCCACCCGAAAGCGAACACTGCCTGTACGTGACTCAAACTCTTCGCGCGCGCCACCGAAGTCTGAAGAAAGGAATCATAGCACTATTCTCTAGCAAGGCCGACGCGGCGCAGGTCAAACTTAAGATAGTGATCAAGGATGTCAAGGACCCGTACATGTTCACTTTTCTCGCACCCCGAGCGCAGGCCGAGCAGGAGTGCGAGGCGCTCAAGAACGAGCTCACCAACGTCCTCGCTCAGAACCGCCATGCCGCACCCGCCCCTCCCGCGGCGCCTGCACCCGTTGCCGGCTCAGGGCCTTTTGCCGCACCGGGAGTTCCCGTGACAGCGGCGTCATCTGCAATCCCTGCTTCGACAGGAGCGGGTCCTCTTCGGACACCCGCCGCGACGCCTGGGCCAGTCCGACCTTCCATATCTCGCGCGGTCTCAACGTCGAGTGAGGCGCGAGGCACTCCTGGACCTTCGAGCGGAGATCCTGCTATCAGCGACTTTCGTCTCCGCAAGAAGGTCATGGTGAAACATCCTGATCTCGGTGCACTGCACAAGGAGTTGGTCATGTCTGGCCAGATTACTGAGGCTGAGTTCTGGGAGGGGCGAGAAGTATGTGCAATGGAGCGCCTCATCGGACCGGGGCTTATGGTACCAATGACAGCACCTTCTTATCGCACAAGCCGCGGAAGATGCGCAGAAGAAGGGCAGACCGGGTGCTCTCGTAGATCCACGGCCGACACTTCAGAACGGCGAAATGAAGATAGTCATCTCGCCCCAACTCATCAGCGACCTATTCGAAGAGTTCCCTGTACTCAGGACCGCGTTTGACGAGAACGTGCCCAGTAAGGTGATCACAACGAATACCTTCGTGGGGAGTTTCTCCGCTAACAGAATATTGCAGCTGAAGGAAGATGAATTCTGGGAACGCTACTTCCAGTCAAAGCTGCACAATATGCATCGCGCTTCTATTCGTTCTACTGTCGCGCAACATATTAATACGAAAGACGAGATATTCGACAAATATCTAGAAGAGCCCGATGACGGTATTGAACCGCGGAAACCGATGAATGAGGACGTCGAAATGCTTGTCGACCTCACGGCGACTCATGAAGACCATGACGAGGTACGTCTCTTCCTCTGATCACTGCGTGTCCGCTTTATTGATCTGCTTTGCGTCAGACTGGAAATGAGAAAGACGTGACGATGCAGGCCGGCAAGCAGAAGGGTGCCTTGCCCCTGATTCGTCGATTCAATGAGCACTCAGAGCGCCTGCTCAAGACGGCAATGTAGGTTTCTTGATTAATCATTGAGTAATAGGTTTCTCATCTGCTTACAGAGGCGAAGGCAACCCAGCAAAGCGCAGACGCTTAGATAGATCAGACTCAAACGAGGTACGCGTGATACTCTATCTGAAGCACAGGGCAAGTGCTGATAATATGTTTCAGCTCGAACACTACTACGAGCAGATCGATATCGATGATCTGCACAAACCCGCGTCATCAGCTGGCATACCTCTCGAGATGCGGGACTCACAACGATATTTTGAAGCTCGGACGGAAGGCGCTGGACCCCAAGGAGCCACACCTCAAGTCGACTTCCAAGTAGCGTTAGGTGCCGCAAGGGAGGACGTACGAGAATGGGACAAACGATTAGCGCAACTCGCGGTCGATCGAAAAGCCGGTGAGGCGGCGCTGCAGACGATGACGCAGAGCGTCACAGCGCAGACAGACAATCAACGACATAAAGGTGCCATCCTACGTCCGTATCCTATGTGATGGAGAGCTCTGACACAACACTAGACGACATACCCGAACAACTTTTCACGCAGATGCGCTCCGTCCAGACAGCAGCGAACGAGTTTCTGCGGCAGTTCTGGTCGGCCATCTATCCATCCACGCGCGAAGTCACCCCACAAACTCCAGCACAGAAGGCACAGAAGGCGGCGCGCATGGCGGGTTTTCTCGTCAAAACTCCCGAAAAAGTCAAAGCGCTGGTGCGCGAGGCCGCTGCGACAAACGTGGACCAGAAGAAGGTCGAAGCAGTACGTTCTATACCTTCAGAATCAAAAGGGAATTTTGCGACTAAATTCGCGTGAAGGCGATGCGACCCGTGCTGGACGCCGTCGATCATGCGCTGGCGTTCTGGAGAATGCGTAATGCCAGCGGGAAGGGGGTAAGATAGTCGCGAGTAAGGTGCTCTCATCTGTGCCGTGGTGGTTGAGTGCATCACGTATGTCATCGCACGGCGTCTACTCTTTCTATGAGTACAAACACCGTACCTTTGGGCATGCCCATACGACAATATTGAGCGTGCTATCTGGCCATATGTTCTGAACTAAGCAACGTCAAACGTCCATGACCGTGCGCCCACGACCGGCGTGAAACGCCCTGAGCGAAGACCAGATGTCCAAGATCAGAAAGAAGAGATCGCGGTCGCTTGAAAGTTCGGCTTATCATATAGTAGTTCCAGTATAATGCACCCAGTTGTCACAATCATGAAGGAAGATTGCCCGGGCCGCCCTCCCATCCGCGCGCGCAGGCTATTGCCTGTGCCACGCCGTCGCCGGCCGATAATTTCCACAGACCATGCTTGATCTTCACGCCCATCATCACTTAACATCCTTGACCTCCGTGCCTCTGGCCAATGTCTTCGCCTGAGATCTCAAAGCGCCAGTTTGTGGTTGCATCGCGGGCGTCAATCTTGGCAAGGGTCCAGACAGAGGCAACTGTAGAACTATTGCAGCGCACCTTTCCTCAGCTCTCGTTCAGCACCTCGTTCATGACCTCCAAGGGGGACCGGAACCAGGCTCAAGCAATATATGCTATGGGAGGGAAATCGCTGTGGACGAAAGACCTGGAGGTTGCTCTCTTGGATGGCCGCGTCGATATGCTCGTACACTGTCTGAAAGATACGCCTACTACGCTTCCTCCAGGCTGCGTTCTGGCCGCGATCACGGAGCGTGAGGATCCCGTCGACAGCTTGATCGTGAAGAAGGACTTGAGATTCGACGGGAAGGAGGTCAAGAGCCTGTCTGACCTTCCAGACGGTTCGGTGGTGGGCACGGGGAGTGTGCGGCGTGTCGCACAGCTGCGTCCCCACTTTCCGCATCTGCAATTCAAAGACGTTGTGCGTGTTCGCGCCTTTGTCGCACACCAATGACCATGCTTACATGTCGTCATCGTAGCGGGGCCTTCTGTGCGCAAACTCTCACCGTTCGACTCTTTCGCCAGAGCTCACATAAGCCAATACCGGTAGCGCTACGCGTGTCCGCAAGCTTGATGATCCCGAGGGCCCATACTCTGCTCTTATCCTCGCGAAGGCCGGCATGGTCCGACAAGGGCTGGGTGACAGGATCACGGCTGACCTTCCTGCGCCTACATTATACTATGCTGTAGGACAAGGAGCGCTCTGCTTAGAGATCCGCGAAGGAGATGAGGAGACCGCGGCGTTTTGTGAGGCCATAACACACTGGCCTACACAGTGGGCTTGTCTGGCGGAGCGCGCTTGCTTGCACGAGCTCGAGGGCGGTTGCAGTGTACCCGTTGGCGTCAACACAAAGCTCACGGTCGAGCAGGATGCACCCGAAGGGCATCGTGCCAGGATAGCGATCACAGGCACTGTGACGTCTCTCGACGGCCAACGTCATGTGCAGCAAGATGTAGCCGATACGATTGGGAGCGTCGAACAGGCGCAATTGGTCGGCGTTCGGCTTGCGCGTGCTCTCGTGGACAACGGCGCGGCAACCATACTGGAAGAAATCAATGCGGATCGCGCTAGACGGGAGGGTGAGACCAAGACGCCAACAGAAGTGGCCAAGATTGAAGAGGCCCAGAGGCCGACTGCATGAGCGCTCGTACTATACCTTACTGATTCGCAATCCACCTTTGACAACGCATATGTACATGCTTCATGCGCAACACCACATCATAAACATGCTAATGAGCGAGGCTCTACATACATGACACTAATCGGCATCGCTATACACTCTGAGCGCCGCTTCACCGAACAAATACTCCTCCCAGTGCCAATCAGGAAGGCCTGAGCAATGTTCCAGTGTGATCTCTTTGAGAATCTTCCATCCACCTGCCCGCCTTTTGAGCGCAGAGATCCAGTCGAACCTGGCATCGTCCCAGATCCATTCCAATAGATCTGCTTGCTCTTCCTCCGGATCCGACATCGTATCAGGATCGCGCGCAACGGCACCGTGGATGTCCCAGTAGATCGTGTCCAGGTCTCTCTTGGCGACATCCACGAGCGAGTCGAAGGAGACATCCCAAAGGCTGAGCCACTGTAGCGACGGCAGGAGATAGCATGGCTCCTTCTCTGTAGCGCGCTCCCCTTCCGTACGCTCTTCGCCGATAGGAGCCGACAGCGCTAGGCATATCTCCGGTATAGCGGTCCCTTTCAAGCTCAAGCGCTCCAAAGCTGACGCATACCGCAAGATCGACGTCCAGGTTCCCAATGGATCTTCATCCGCAAGTGCGCTTTCAACATGCAGCGACGTCAAATGCGAAAACGTCAGGCCGTCTTTGACGATTGTGTAGGCCAGGTGTGCGAATGAACGAAAGTACAGGAATTCAGGGCGCTTGTATTCGATGGTGAGAGGTGCAGATGTCAAGGCGCTGTATCTTCTGAGGAAAGACGTGGGCACCCTCATCAACTGAATGCAGAATTCGTCTGCGGCGAATTTTATCGTCATTGACGGTGGGGCGTGGAAGTAAGCCTTGAGATAGCGGACGACGGACTCTGGATGCTCAGCGACTAACGAGGGGGTTGAGGTTAACCCCAGGAAGATATTGGCGGAGGAGGGAAGGCGTAGGTTTTGCAGAAGGCGGATGACAAGCTCCCCGGCGGCATGGAGCCGGACAACTTTGATCTGCGGTAAGGACACTGTTTCTGACGGGAACGAATTCGACGGTGACGGCGAGTAGTGAAATCCATGAAGTTCGAGCCATTGGAGCTTCGGAAGAGCCGCGAGCAAGTTCAGAAGCTCGGGATGGGTGCCCATACCGCTGTCGCGATCTCCGCTGAGCCCATCCGAATGGTTGATCTCGAGCATACTGAGCTCGGGGAAGGCCAGCGACGGCCATGTGAAATATATATTGTCCAGATTGATGGACTTGAGCTTTGGTGCGTGTCGTTGGAATAGGTCGCGTGGAAGCTCGACTGCCTGGGCGTCTACGGCGTCCATTCGGAAGGCACGGAGTTCCGGGGCTGGTACACCGAGGAATTGCGACCAGCTCGCGGGGTAGAAGTCTAAGGAGTCGAATAACAACCACAGCGCGGTCATGCGCCGTAAGTTCTTCTGCACCATGAGGCATGCAACGGCGGTCCGGTGTATCATCACTCCAGTCGTGAGCGAGTTTGCCGACGCAGGAAAGTGCAATGATAGCCCAAGTGGTGCATCGCCTGCTCGTTGGATGAATACTTGTTGCCAGGTCAGGCTAATGTGCCTCGGGACCAGCGTCCATAGAAGTTGAGTCGCTAACGCCACAGCTCTCCATCGTGAGCAGGTGTGCGTCAGGGAGACGGCCCATCCTGGGACACCATGTTCGGCCTCGTCCTCGATACAAGCATCCCGCACGATGACAAAAACGGCAGCTAGCAGTTCGTTCGGGAGGTCATTGACTGAGTAATGATTATATTTCGGCGCAGTGAGATAGGCGAGCTCCTTCTTCTGGCTTTCCTGCATGAGTCGGCAGCAGTCTGAAGGTCGGATACACAAGGCACAAGGCGCGTCAGCCGCCCAGCACGCCGCCGCGCCGCGCGCGCGTCGGGGTGCCGGCCCGGACACGCGTGAGCCTCTGGTTAGGGTTATTCTCGCCTTCGAAAGCCGCGGCGCCAAGTGTGTCAAGACCACGACGAGCTATCCACCATAAAAAAACCCCCTTTCCCATGTTTACGATCCTATCTTTGAATGTATTCGACGATCTACTTGTAGTTGCAGAGTGTCTGCCGCTGGGACGCGTTCGCTCCGCTCAACGCGTCGCCGCGGCATTGCGCGGAGGCGGGACTGCGAGTGATATCCGCACGACGAGGTCTCCAATCTTCACTTCTCTCAGCATCACTCGCTACCAGCTCAGACGCGCCGACTACCGGCAGGGGTTCTGCCGAATGGAGGACGCTCGGCAGGTCCTATAGCTATGAGTCACAGCGCATACCCGAGCTCACCTACGCCTCATTCACACTCTCGTCAGGCTTCGGGCTCCGATCGTACAAGGGAATTCGATAGAAGGGATCAAGAAAACGGAATGATGTGCCTTGTAAGATAGATATATAAAGTCCCCGCACAACCTGTCTGAGCGCTCATTCCCTGTTTCGAA